GTGGTAAGAAAGAAAGATCTGTTATCCTTTGAGACGACATGGAGGGACCTGGAAAGTATTAACCTAAGTGAAATAATCCAAGCAGAAAAAGACAAATACCACATGATCTCACTTATATATGGAATATAATGAACATAACAGTCTGAGGAATACGGTAGACCCAGAAACATGAAAGTAGGGCACAGACTGACATCCCTCCGAAGAGGGGGTCAGGGGGTGAGAGAATCTAAACCACAGAACTTACATGCATGTATGCATGACCAATGGACATGGACAACAAAGCCGGGGTGGGGCGGGGGTGGGGTGGGGAGGGGGGTGCCAATGAGGCAAAAAATGAAAAACATCTGTAACAAAAAATAAATAAATAATTTTTAAAAATAAAATAAAGATATAAAACCACTAAAAAAAAAAAAAAATGAGCCTTGGCCAGTTTCCCTCAGTGGTTAGAGTGTGACTGGAGAGACCCGGGTTTGGTTTCTGATAATGGCACATATTTGGTTGCTGTTTGTCCCTGGCCCTGATTGGTCTCTGTGGGTAGCAACCAGTCAATGTGTCTCTCTCACATCGATGTTTCTCTCTTTCTCTCTTTCCCCTCTCTCCCTCCCACTCTGTCTGAAGATAAATCCAAAAATAGTTTTTGGTTGAGGATAAAAATAAAAAATATAAATAAATAAATAAAATTAATGAACTATCAAGCTACAGAGAGAGAGAAGAGAGAAATGTAGGAAACTTCACTACATATTGCTAAATGAAAGAAGCAAATCTTTAAAGACTAAATACTGTGATTCGAAGTACATGATATTCTGAAAGAGACAGAGCTATGAAGATTGTAAAAAGATCAGTGGTTGGCAGGGTTTCAGGGGGAGAAAAAAGGGGAGGAAAAGAGTAGTACAGGAGATTTTCAGGACAATGAAATTATTCTGTACAATACTGTTATGGTGGATACAGGATAAAGAGTAATAGATAATAAAATGATTAAGGAACTTTACCCCCGATCTTGTTTTTTTGTAAGAGATTGTAAAGAATTGGTGTTGGGGGTGGGGAGGAAGAGATAAACCACAGAATTTACATGCATGTATGCATGACCAATGAACATAGACAATAGGGATGGGGTGGGGGGAAAGGGGAGGAGGGTGTCAATGGTGAAAAAATGAGAAACATCTGTAACAAAAACAAATTAATAAATATAAAATTAAGAAAAATTTGTGTCATTTTTTCTTTAAACATTTGGTGGAATTTAATAATGAAACTCTCTGTATTGGTGCTTTCTTTTTTGTTAGATTATTATTGATTCAATTTCTTTGGTAGACATAGGCATATTAAGACTATATATAGATATATATCTTCTTGTGTGAATTATGGGAGTTTGTATCTTTTAAGGGATTGGTTCATTTCATCTAAGTTATCAAATTTGTGGGCATGAAATTATTCACAATATTTACTTATTACCATTTTACAGTTCACTGTATCAATAGCAAGAACCCTGTCTTTCATTTCTGATATCAGTATTTGTGACTTGTCTGTTTTTCATGTAGACTGGCTCGAGGTGCATCAATTTTTTTTCCTGGTACATGCACCTAGCAGGAACTGAACCCAGGACTCTCTGGTCTGCAGGCTGATGCTCAACCACTGAGCCAAAGTGGCCAGGGCATCAACTTTTTGATTTATTAATCTTGTCTCAAATAACTAGGTTTTGATTTCGTTGATTTTTTGTTTTCAATTTTATTTATTGTACTCTAATTTTTTGTTTTATTGATTTGAGAGAGAGGAAGGAAGAAGAGAGAGACAGAAACATTGATGAGAGAGAACATCAATCGGCTGCCTCCTGCATACCCCCCACTGGGGATCTGGCCCACAACCTGGGCATGTGCCCTCACCAGGAATCAATCTTGTTACCTCTTGGTGCATGGGTTGATGCTCAACCACTGAGGCACACCAACTGGGCTCTACTCTAATTTTTTATTACTTTTTATTGTGCTTTTTTTTGCCTTACATTTCTTTTTTATGTATTCATTGATTTTTTTAGAGAGAGAGGAAGGGAGAGAGAGCTAGAAACATCAATGTGAGAGAGAAACATTGATTAGCTGCCTCCTGCATGCTCCCCACTTAGGATTGGGCCCACAACATGGGCATGTGCCCTGATCAGGAATTGAACCAGCGACCTCTTGGTACATGGGTTGATGCTCAAACACTGAGCCATGCCAGCCAGGTTTGCCTTATATTTCTTTGCTCTAGTTTCATAAAGTAGTACTTAGATTATTGATTTTAGCTATAAATTTTCCTCTGTCCCACAATATTGATAAGTTGTGTTTTCATTTTTATTTAGTTAAAAAATTTTTAAATTTCCCTTGAAGACTTCTTCTTTGACACATAAGTAATTCAATATCTAAATAGGTTTAGACTTCCTAGGTATCTTTCTGTTACCAATTTCTAGTTTCACTTAATTTTTGCCTAAGAGTGTATTCTCTGATTTCCAGTCTTTAACATTTGCTAAGGTGGCCATTCCTGCTGTGGCTAGTTGGCTGGACACTGTCCCATACACCAAAAGGTTGCTTGTTTGATTCCCAGTTGGGGCACATGCCTGGGTTTCAGGCTCCGTCCCAGTAGCAGCCGATCGATATTTTGCTCTCATATCAATGGTTCTCTTTCTTTCTCTCCCTCGCCTTTCAAAACTCTATAGACAAGAAAAAGCTAAAGAAATTCATCACCCCCAAACCAATATTATATGAAATGTTAAAATGTCTTCTTTTAAAAGATCAAGAATATGAACAATAAAGTGGCAAAAAAGACATATCTATCAACAATATTTACAAACAAAATAAACTAGAAAACCAGAAACAGACTCATACAGATGGTTGCCAGATGGAACAGAGGTTGGGGGGATGGGTGTAGAATTAAGAACTACAAATTGCTCAGCTCAGCAGATGTGACTCAGTGGTTGAGCATCTACCCATGCACCAATCACCAGTTCAATTCCAGGTCAGGTTACATGCCCAGGTTTGGGCCAAATCCCCCAGTGGGGGACATGCAGGAAGTGGCCAATGTTCTCTCCATTGATGTTTCTATCTCCCATTTTTCCTTCCTTTCTCTCTAATATCAATACACAAAAAAATTTTTTTAATTGGTCAAATGGACTCACTTGCTATTTATATGTTTCTTTAATAGCTCCAATTACTAAATATAAATTGATCTGGCATAATATTCTCCTGACTTTCCTCTTGTCTGTGTCTTTGGGGCTTTACTCCTTTATACTCCTCTATGTCTTAGTCTTTTTAAAAATACTTTATTGAGGTAAGATTGGTTAATAAGATTATATAAATTTGAGGTGTACAACATTCAATGTCCATATACTCTATTGTTTGCTCACCATCAAAATCTGGTATCCTCCTGTTACTATATATTTTATCCCCTTTACCCAATTCACCCTCTTCCTACCCATTTTACATCTGATAATCGTCATTCTGTTGTCTGTATCTATGAGTTTTGTTTTGTTAATTCATTTGTTACTTTTTTGTCTTATAGTTCACATGAGTGGAATCAATGGCTTCTGAAATTTTCCATCTGACATATTTCACTTAACATAAAACCCTAAGATCCATACATATTGTTGCAAATGACATTGTTTTCTCTTTTTTATATATGGGTTGCATTTTATTTTTTAAAACAAACCATATCTTCTCTATTCATTTACATGTCAATGAACACTTAGGTTGTTTCCATATATTGACTATGGGTGAGGATTTAAAAAAAAAGCTCTCTGAGGGGCCTGGCTGATTTGGTTCAATAAAAGCATTGACCACAGACCAATCTTGGATTTATTTCCTGCTCAAGGGCATGTAATTTGGTTGTAGGTTCAATCCCAGCTACCATCTGGGTTGTGCAGGAGGCAACCAATTGATGTGTCTCTCTCACATAGATGTCTTTCTCTTTCCCTTTCTTCCTCCCTCCCTCCATTGTTGGCGAACTGTACTTAAGAGGTTAAGAATAGAACTACCATATGATCCAGCAATTCATTCCTCTTCTGAGTATTTATCCTCAGAATATGAAAGCACTAATTTAAAAAGTATATATGTACAATATTGAACCTACAACCAAATTACATGCCCTTGAGCAGGAAATAAATCCAAGATTGGTCTGTGGTCAATGCTCTTATTGAACCAAATCAGCCAGGCCCCTCAGAGAGCTTTTTTTTTTTTATCCTCACCCAGGGACATTTTTTGTTCAGATACAGTGGGAGGAGAGAGGGAGAGAGAAAAAAACATCAATGTGAAAGGAACACATCGAGTGGCTGCCACCCACTGACCCAACCAGGGCGAGGGACAAATTGCAACCGAGGTACATGTCCTTAGCAGGAATCAAACCCAGGTCTCTCTGGACCGCAGGCCAATGCTCTAACTGCTGAGCCAAACTGGCCAGGGCTTGTCAAAATGGCCAGGGCTTCACAGAGCTCTTAACGTGAATATGCCTAAAACTAAATTCTCATCCATTCTCCCATACACACACACTAAACTGGCTCCTTCTGTCTTCATTATCTCAGAATATGAGATACCTGCATTCATTAGTTGCTCAAACCAGTTTAAATCCAGTTTAAATCTAGTCCATCATCAATTTTGATTAATATTACCTGTAAAACATATAAATTCACCTCTTTTTTCTAATTCCCATGTCATCATCTTAATCCAAGCCTCTATCTTGTTAGAACTCCTGCAGTTGTCTCCTTTATGATTTCCTCTTTATGACTTCCAATTTCCTTTTTTTTTAATCCTCACCTGAGGATATTTTTCCATTTATCTTCAGATAGACTAGCAGGAAGGGAGTGAGAGAGACACACCAATTGGTTGCCTCCCAATTGACCCTGACGTACATGCCCTTAACTGGAATCAAACCCCCATCTTTTTGGACCATGGGCTGATGCTCCAACCACTGAGCCAAACTGGCCAGGGCAGCCTCCTTTATGATTTCATTATGAGTTCTCTCATTCTACTTTTGCTATGTGTGTGTCCATGCACACCATTCATGGAAGTACAGCAATACCAGGTCAATGTGCAGATTGGATTGAGCAAGCTCCTATTCTACCGTCTTGCTTCAAAATTACATTTAATACATTGTCCTCAGGTAGAGGGTGTATCAGATATTAAACTGATAATAACAAATACTATACTAGATCTCAGCCACAAGCTATGTGTAGTATTAAAAGCATGAATTATTGCCCTAGCCTATTTGGCTCAGCGGTGGAGTATGGGCTGTCAAACCAGAGGGTCACAAGTTTGATTCCAGTCAAGGGCGTACCTTGCTTGCAGTTCATCCCCAGCCCTGGTCAGGGTTATGCAAGAGGCAACCAGTCAATGTGTCCTCCTCACATTGATGTCTCTCTCTCTCTCCCCCCACCCCCCACTGTACCTGAGGATAAAAACAGAACAAAGTATCCTGTGGTGAGGATTTGAAAATAAAAATAAAAAGATTATTCATGACTTTGGAAGAGCAATCACCCATGGATTAGTTAAATAACTACTTTTACCATTGAGCTACAAAAACTCCAAAACTCCATCACTGTTTTGGCGTCACAAGTGTGACCTGATAAGTTTGAGGAAATAGGAAGATAACAACCCGAAGCAATGCTGTTCTTCATAAATTTTCTTGAGCATTGATCAGGCCTGTTTATTGCAAAGTTCCAGACACTTAGTCTCTCTTCATATAGATTCTGGTCATCCAGCTGGTGTGGCTCAGTCTCTCTTCATATAGATTCTGGTCATCCAGCTGGTGTGGCTCAGTGGTTGAGTGTTGACCCATACACCAAGAGATTACTGGTTCAATTCCCAGTCAGGACACATTCCCAGGTTGTGGGCCCAATCCCCAGTTTGGGGCATGCAAGAGGTGGCCAGTCAATGTTTCCATCTCTTTCTCCCTCTCTCTTTTTTTAAAAAAAAATCAATAAAGGAAAAAAGTTATTTTAAAAAGAAACAGATTCGGGTCACAACCAATCAAGACTAAACAAAGAGCAGATAATGAGAGGAAACTTCAACCATTCACTTTGACTATTTGTTAAATTTGGGCTCTTAAAGGAAGCAAAGGTGCTTGAAGAAGTAATTCAACCAAAAGTTTTAGATTATCAATTTTATTTTTAAAATTTTATTTGTGTATCGTGATTAAATTCACACATGACAAAGTTTTGTAACTTTACCTGTCTATATACCACAAATATTAAATGGGAAGGGTGTTTAGTCATTTAACTAAAATAATCATTTTTCATGATTATTTTTATGATTCTTATAAAATCAAGCTCATAGTACATATCAGAGATTCAGTCTTTAAAGCTTTCCATTTAATTCTGTGAACATTTATCAAGTACTTCTTAAATACTAGACACATTGTTCTAGAAAATAATCAATATCTTAAAGCTAGGAACACCTGTAATAGGTTAGTTGTTACAAGGCAAGACTGCAGTTATTCATTTAGGATTTTTGTGTACATCTATAAGAAGACAGCAAAGGACATGCATGATTTTGCTCTTAGGCATGTAGTCTTACACCAGAGATTGGCTCACACTGCATATTTAATACATTAAAATTTTATAAGAGTAAGGGAAAATAGAGGCATGGTATCAGTAATAGCCTAGTGATTAAATGTTATCAATGGGGTCAGTTAATTTGAATGCTGGAACACTAATTTAGCAGCAACTTTCTGACCCTCAGGTTCCCCACTTATTAAAAAGGAGGGGAAAGAGACTTCTGGTCAAGATGGTGTATGTAAACATGGTGTTGCTTTTTCCTACAAAACCACATCAAAATTACACCTAAACTTCAGAATAAATATCCTTCAGAACCACCTGAAATCGAGCAGAATGAAAGTCTTACAAGTACAAAACTAAAGAAGAAGCCACATGGAGACTGGTAGGAGGGATGGAGGCTGATCCACACCCATGTGTGGTGGATAAAAATCAAGAGGGATACCTCACCAGGAAAGTTATCCTTGAAGAGTGAAGGGTCCCAACCCACAGCAGAATATGTTGTTTACAAGAGACGACCCACCTCACAACAAAAGACTCACATAGGTTGAAAGTGTAGGAATGAGAAAAAATTTTCCAAGCAAAGGGAAAGGAAAAAAGACCTGTGTGATAATAAAACTTTCTTGATTGAGGCCATAACCTGGGCTGGTTTTGGTTTGCCTCAGCAGTTAAAGCGTCTGTTCACAGACCAATGAGACCTGGGTTTGATTCTGGCCCAGGGCATGTACACATCAGTTGCTGTTCAGCCCCAGCCCTGGTCAAGGGGGAGGCAACCAGAGAAAGAGAGACACATCAACTGGTTGCCTCCCACTTGACCTTGACCAGGGCTGGGGCTGAACAGCAACCTCTCTTTCTCTCCCTCCTAATTTGTCTAAAGATAAATGGGAAAATGTCCTCAGATGAGGATAAAAAAAATAATAAAGGCCATTTTAAACTTCTGGAGGACTTCAACACCCCGCTGACATCACTGGATAGATTCCTGTGGACAAACATACACACAAAAAAAAACAGATTCTAAATGATGCACTAGATCAATGGATATCTATAGAGAATTACACCCCAAAACAGTAGAATTCACATTCTTCTCAAGTGCACATGGGACATTCTCAAAGATAGACCACGTATTAGGACACAAACTAAGTCTCTACAAGTTCAAGAAGACTTAAATCATATCACAATGGCAACAATCACATGCAAAGACATTTCAGCACTTGGAGGCTAAATAGCATGTTATTAAACAACAAATGGGTTACTGAGGAGATCAAGGAAGAAATTAAAAACTTCCTGGAAACCAATGAAAATGAACACACAACAGAATCTATGGGATGCTGTGAAAGCAGTTTTGAGGAAAGTTCATAGCGACTACCTCAAGAAACAAGAATGATTTCTAACTATGTAACCTCACAATTTAAATAACTACCAGAATGGCTGCCTTCAACAAATCATCAAACAACAAGTACTGGTGAAAGAAGGTGTGAAGAAAGGGGACTGTAGTACAGTGCTGGTAAGAATGCAGATTGGTGCAATGGATAAAAAAGCTGTGGTACATATCAATGTGTAAGAAAGATCTTCTATCCTTTGAGATATAATGTCTATATCCTGGAGAGGCTAACTGCACTTCCTTACACTCCACACTGCACTACTTATTTTGTAGCTACTAATGTGCTTCTCCACCCCCAATATCCCTCCCCTTTAGCAACAGTCTCTGTATCTGTGCATCTATTTTCTGTTGTTTGTTCATTCCATATATAAGTGAAATCATATGGTATCTGTCTTTCCCTGACTGACTTATACTTAAGCACAACACACAGTAGCTCCATCCCTGTCGCCCTGTCGTTGCAAATATTCTATTGTATATTTTGTACCTCAGCTTCTCATCCTGGGCAGGGGTTGCTTCCATATCTTCAATATTATAAATAGCACTACAATAAACAAGGGGGTGCATGGAATCACTGGGTCATAAGGGAGTTCCATTATTATTTTTTGAAGAACCTCTATATACACTGTTCACAATAGTGGCTGCACCAAACACATTGTCACCAACAGAGCACAAGGGTTCCCTTTGTTCACATCCTAGAATCACAACATCTTTATTTTACCTTTTTTTTTACAGATATTTTTCTCCTTTTTCCCCACTAATTCCCTCCCTCCCACCCTCCCACCCTTGTTATATCCATGTCCATTGTTCATACATACATGCATATAAATTCTGTGGTTTCTTTCTCTCCCACCATCTTTCCTCTTCTGAGGATTGTTAGTCTGTACCCCAACTTCCACATCTCTGGGACTCCCCACTCCTCAGACTGTTGTCATTATATTCCACAAGTCAGTAAGATCATATGATGCTTGGCTTGTTTCACTTAGTAATACTCTCCATGTTGCCCCAAAGGATAAGAGATCTTTCTCTGCTACTGCTGCATCGTACTCCATTGTGTATATGTACCACTGCTTTTTTATCCATTCGTCTACTGATGGACACAAGGGCCACTTCCAAATCTTAGCGATTGTAAATAGTGCTGCTACAAACATGGGGGTACATATATTCTTTCTGATTGGTGTTTCAGGCTTCTTAGGGTATATTCCTAGAAGCGGGGTCACTGGGTCAAGTGGCAGTTCCATTTTTGATTTTTGAGGTAACACCATATTGTTTTCCATACTGCCTGCACCAGTCTGCATTCCCACCAACAGAGTACTAGAGTCCCATTTTCTCCACTACAGTCCCCTTTTCTCCACACCCTCGCCAACACTTGTTTGATCATTTGTTGATGGCGGCCCTGACAGGTGTGAGGTGATCTATTTTGACTTTAATTTGCATTAGTGACATTGAGAATCTGTAGACCATGTGAATGTATATTTTGGAGAAATGTTTATTCAGGTCAGCTGATTTGCCCATTTTATAATTGGATTGTTTCTTTGCTTATTTCAGTGTTAAACTGTAGATCTTCAGAAGAACTATTGGTGAATTCCTTTCCTTCAGTAGGTTGTCTTTTTTTTCTTTCCCTCACCTGAGGACATTTTTTAGGACACTTTTGTGTTTATTCTGCAGACCGAGTGGGAGGGAGAGTAGCTGCCACCCACACTACCCCAAGCAAGAGCAGGCATGAATCATAACTGAGGTACATGCCTTATAAACCTGGGACTCTGTGGTTCTTGGCCTTGCCCAGCTGCCTCCATAAAGAACAGGCAGAAATACTGGCCAGTTTGGCTCAGCGGTTAGAGCGTCGGCCTGCGGTCCGGAGAGACCCGGGTTCGGTTCCCGCTAAGGGCATGTACCTCGGTTGCAGTTTGTCCCCAGCCCTGGTTGGCCGTGCGGGTGGCGGCCACTCGATGTGTCCCTTCACGTCGATGTTTAACTCTCTCTCTCCCTCCCTCCCTCTCTGTACAAAAAATGGGAAAATATCCTGGGGTGAGGATAAAAAAAAAAGAACAGGCAGAACTTTAGAGCAGCATCAGATTAAATGCCAAACACCTTGCAATTAATTTCAACTGGATGTCAGCTCCATGAAATAAAATGTCACTTCCTTGCTTGGACTTTGACAGGCATCCTGCCCTTCCCTTTATTCCTGTGTTAACCTCATCAGAGTAGTAGAATGGAGGAACAGAAAGTGAGGACAGCTGTTGACCTGAGTGGACAGCTGTTGAAGTGGAGAGGTGCATGCATGTATGCATGAACCAATTTCTCAGTA